GGTGTCCAGCTGTACACATTTAAATATTAAAATTCCAGCTGTACACATTTAAATATTAAAATTCCAGCTGTACACATTTAAATATTAAAATTCCAGCTGTACACATAATTAAATATTAAAATTGCTAGCTCAATGGGATTTTTGTTTAAAAGCAAGGCAATCAGGCGCGCAACTAGACATTTGGTTAGGGGGGGGCTAGGGGGAAATATTGTGCGCGAAGCGCGAAAATTTTTTTGGCCCCCCCCAAAAATGTGTGTTATACTTAAACAATAAAAAACTAACCTTACCAACCTGATATTCAGTAAGTCAACACATCTGATATGAAATAAAACAAGAAATATATTCTGGTCAGGGGCGGATACAGGGGGGGAGGCGGGGGGAAATTGGCCCCCCCCTGAATTTGGAATTTTTTGTTCCTATTTTCAGAATAGCTTCTCAATAGCATGCTTAATTGGGAAAGAAACCCTAGTGCAAAACAGGAAAAATATCTGTCTTGATAAACTATAATGTGTGAAAAGTTAAAAATTATCTTTATTAATGCAGTGGAAATTAGTTCAAAAACTAACACATTTACATTGGCCCATTTCTAATACTGAGTGTTAGAAATGGGCCAAATCTGCAAAATATATCTTTTCCAAGGTGAGCCAAGTGTTAGTTTTGGACTAATGTCCCCTGTAATGAAATTTCTGTAAAATTTAGGGGGAAATGTTTCCGCTATTGCGGTTTTCTAAAATTTCATAAAAATTCATAAATACTTGAGAAAGAAAAATCTGTGGAAATCTTCAAGCGCTACGTCTTTACTTAGTGCACGCTAAGCGTGGCTTCCCCAGGTTTTCATGATGTAAAAATTCAACAATAAAACAATATGTGACAGTGTGCGCAGACTTTCAATGAACCAAACTGGTGAAAATAAACGTTTTTTGCCGACTTTTCAAGTATTGATGAATTATTGTCAAATTTTGGAATAAAATACACATTTTTCATTAAATTAAATTTTTGTTGATTGTATTCAATAAACTTTAAAAAGGCGAAATCGTCCATGTGGCAACTTATGACCACAGGGAAGATTTCATAGACCTTAAAAACTAAACAAATCCGCCAAAAAATGCGAAAATTTTAGAACGATTACTATGCCGAATATCATAGCAACAGATAATCTAAAAACTATGGTTGTTAATATTAAAGGTGGTGTAAAGCACCTTAAAGAATGTTATACGTATATTTGTATAAACAAGTATATTTGGTTGAGTGTGAGACCTTCTTTATAATTGCTTTGACTAATCCAGTATATAATCGTATTACGATCCCGGGACTCTAATCTTAATTCGGATTTGTCTGATGAAAAAAAATAGATTTTAAACAAATAACATTTGGTTAAGATATTTTTTAAAGCTTTTTGACGTAAAAAAAGTATTAATATCGAATTTTTAAATAATTCGAAAAAAAGGACATTTTGGCGAAGCGCGAGCCCCAAAAATGTCCTGTTCTTCTGGTAAATGTTCTAGATATTTCTACGCTGTGACAACGAAGCTAATCCACCTTCAGATTAACACTCCTTACATCAAACAACGATCTGCTTGACATCAACCTGATCAAAAATATGTTTTGTATAAATACAGTGAACTAATAAAATGTAGAGCACTTCTAGAAAAAAAGTACTCGGCCCTAAACTTTTATTAGCAACACTTTGATAACACCTTGATGGTAAATTTGATGGTTAATTAACCGTCTATGTCCGAACTTAATATTTTTCAAAATATTTTTTTCAAATTCTCAATTTTTATAGAAATGTTCCCTGAGGAACAGAACTATTTTTATTTTTTTTCATACAATGCACAGTTTTAGAGATAGGGACAGCGGTCGATATCGACCGCTTCGTCAACAAGGGATTTTAAAATGGCCAAAATCGACAGCTCCGGAACAAAGCAAAGTTTGTAATTTCTTCTATTATTTGATCACACCTTGATGGTAAATTTGATGGTTAATTAATTATATTAGAAATATATAGTTTTAATTTTTAAATATACATAGTTTTCAATGATTTAACTGTAATTTAAATGCAAGTTTTGTAATGAAAGTTAATATTTATAAGTCCCCTTGGAGTTCTGACATTATGATAAGAACCAAATCTTATTTCCCAGGTCTGAATCTCAGAGAAAATATTTTGGACAAAAGATTTCTTTTTATTGCAACTAAATGGGGATAAGGGGGAACGTTCACCCCCCCTCCCCCCTATTCACTTACATAACCTTACTGCAAGCGCACGAGCTGGTGTTTTCTTGAATTTATAAGGTGTTTCATAAACAAAGATATCAGTTCAGTTTTTTTCGATCGTTCATGCCAAAATCGTTCTGTTTAAAACGTTTCACTATCTAATTTTTTTTTAATATAATGTAATCATTTTTAGATTTAAAACTAAATAAAAAAGGTTTTTTCTTGGATATGTTAAATCATTTTAAAAAATCCTAAACTCGTTTTTTAATTAACAACCGTTTGTCATAATCTTTAATGATTTATTTAAGATTACATGAATTTTTCGTATTTTAGTTTTTAACAGGTCAAATTCGGGTTTTATTTGTTTATTCCAAGCTTATATGTACATCCATATATGATGTATAATGTACAGCGGGCTCAAATAAATTATGAGGTAGGAAGATCTTATACTGTTTTCATCTATAAGGTTAACTATAGGGTTGTTAACCGTATTGTAGTTTGTTTTTTAAAATGTTATATAAGAATTTAAATATTTCCAAAATGTAGATAATCTGTTAAAGTTTGCCTTTTTAACTTTACAATATTTTCATTATAAAAGAACAATAAAAAACTCGTTTTTGTTTTGTCTTTGGTTCTTTTTTGGCCTATATTTTCCCTTTTTGCATACCCCTATATTTATAAAAATCGACATTTATAGAATTTTAAATCTCAGAATTCATTTTGTTCTGTATTGTTTACAGCTACTGTAGTCTGCATGACTCTTGTATAGGGATAGACAATTGCCAGATTCGTTTTACAGAAACTTGAAATGTTTTTAGACTTTTAAAAGATTTTTCGACACTTTATGAGAAGGTTCTAATAATTTAAAACTTTGTTCTGTAAAAGTTTGGTTTTTTTAAAAATACAAATTTGTTACTCCAGAAGAAAATAAAAGGCAAAAACAATAGTTTTTGGTTCGTTTTGCCTTTTATTATCACCTTATATGATAACAAATCTGCATGTTTAATTAAAGCAAACTGCTACAGAATACAATTATAAATCGTTGAATCCTTCCCAGATTGTCGTAAAACCATTTTATAGTCTAAGAATATAAAAAGATTCTGTAAAACAAATCTAGCTACACTGCCCATCGCTACATGTATTAAGTTTTATGTAGAACGTTAACTAATGAACACCTGGCATTTAAGGTTTAAGACTAGAGGTCTGAGCAAACAAAACATTTGTTTGAGTTTTGCAACTTGTGGACGGATTTTTTGCACACTGTGTTTTCTGCGTAAAATATGTCAATCAGAAAGGTTTGCATAGTTATGATGTATATGCTACCATGTTTCAAAACAAAATTCAATAACATTTTGCACCTGTTTTCGTATATAGGAGCTAGGTGTAGAAAACAATAATTAAATTACAAATTGTTTAATACTTTTTTTGATTTTTATCTTGTATATATTTATAAATTGTTATGTAGACCCACATAGATTCAGACTGCTATGAAAGTTAACTTGTTTTTAAGACTGGGTCGACTCTAAAGTGTCGCAATACCTTGGCCTTCGATTGTACTTCACTAAAGCTTACTTTCTTCTATTGCAGTTCTAGATATGAACATTGAAGGACTGAAGAGTTCTTGTTGTAAGCTGTAGTCTAAAGTAGGCATAGGCCAAATTCTCATCGATTGGAGAGTTTGCATCATTTAGATCAATATGTACCATGAACCCTTAAACTCTTACAGTGGTAAATAGAAAACAGTGGAATAATTTACATCGTTCTGTAGTTTATAATATTTGTCATTTGGTTTGTAATTTGTGACGGATTTATTTCTTAAAACCTGACCTGAATATTTTTAGACTTCCATCAATTATGACAAATACTAATTTCCTAAATAGTTAGAGAAAAAGAAGGAAAAAGACGACATTTGTATTTTCTGACAGATACATCGAATAATACTGAAAGCTGTACAACAATAATACAGTACAAAACAAAAATGATTATTGCATCTTATCTTTATTTCTTGATTTTAGTTGTGCAATCCGAGAAATTTTTTTTTTAAAAAGAAATATAAAGTATTAACCAAAATGTATGAGCCTTTAACATGTTAAATTTGATAGTTTGACTTGAATATAGATTTCTACTTGTTGGCTAATTATTTGGCAAAGAAAGAAACTAGTTTTAACCTGCAGAAAACCGAAAACGCATGAAAATAGAGTAAATCAAATACGTACAGTCATCTCTGAAGTCTCATCCTTTTAGGGAAACACTAGTTAATAAATTGTGTTTAAATAACAAGCCGTTGGATAAAATCTGTTAATTTCAACCTGCTACTTTTAATCCGACCTAATCATCAAATATTTTTTGAAGAAACGATCGATTAGACCCCGTGCGTTTTACGGATTTAAATCGCCTCCCCGTCATAATTACGACTAACCCCCATCCAACTCCACCCTCCTTCCCTAACCTAGCTTTAAAAGTCTAATCCAATTTAAGGTAAAAAAAACCTGAGGTCAGAAAACACTAAGGTCAGTAATTACAAGGTCGGGCGATCGGTTAATGAACCATTACTCTAAAATTTATCTTAATCTTGCATCCTTAAATTATACCTTTAAAGACGACATGACAGAAAACATATTGCTCTTTTTGGATTATTTCCGACATGAATAGGAAATCCCTTGTATTAGAACTAGATCCATCAAGAAATCTGTCCGGAGGTATGAAGGAGGGTGAAAAGGAGTTCGGACCGTTATCCGAGCTCTGTTGAGAGGATAAAGCGAGGTTAGTTTTCATCTTCCCGTCTTCTGGAGAACATATACGCGGCAACCTCGAGATAAAAATCCGCGAACACATTCTGTTTCGTAGATTTCATGCCCAGTGATAGCTCCTCGGACCGGCACATTCCGTTGGAAAATGTTGAGTGAAATAAAATAAAAGCAAACTTGTGAAACAAAGGTAGTTATTTAGCTTAAAAAGAATAATTAGGTGTTCTCTTACCGTCTGTCAAATACATAGAAATAATTAGTCTGCAAGTTCTAAAAATAATTTTTAACCCCCCNCACATAATTATTACTTTTTCTTACAAGAAGTAATCTTTTTTATTACAGACCTATTTTTTAGGACTTTCATTCAAGTTTAAACCAAAGTGCTTACTTCTTCTGTACCACTAATCTTTTAACCTCATCTTAAGTGCTTTGTACGTCTTAATAAACCAAACTCCTGAATCTTCTTTTTAAACCATAATTCTGCATCTTTATGATAAAAAACCATTATTTTGAACTCATCGAATGAACCTTACTCTACTAATCTCTACTCCTCAACCCTACTCCTCATCCCTTTTCCTCAACCCCTACTCCTAAATGTTACTCCTCAACCCTAATCATCAACCCTACTCCTCAACCCTAATCCTCAACCCTTCTCCTCAATATTACTCCTCAACCCTACTCCTTAACCCTATTCCTTAACCCCTACTCCTCCACCCTACTCCTCAACCCTACTCCAGGTATACTCTTGACTACAGAATGTAGAACATGAGTATTCTAAGCAGAAAGCAACTGTTTTGTGGGAACAAAAAATGCAAAATATTTGCAGAGCCTATTCTTTACCTTGTTACTCACAGAATACCTATTGTTTAAGAGAATGCTCTCGAATTTAAAAGTAAGTGCATAATAAGATTTGATATTTCTAGTTTGTAGGTAGATATATCAAATGTCAAACAAAAATATTTTAGTCATAAAAATAAGGATTAAGTATATTTAAACAAAATAAGTAATACACATTTCAAGTTAAGTTGGAAAAGAACAGTTGCTTTCCGGCTGTAGAGTATCAAATAAAAGAAGAAATATAAATATTAAATAAATATCAAAACAAACATATATCGCAGTGTGAAAGAAGTGTAAAAAAATAAAATTGTTTTTTGATGTAATTTTTCTGGTATTGCACACAGATTATCTTGCTACATACTCCAGCAAATATAATATGGTTTCTTAGCTTTTCAGGAAATACAAGAGCATTCTGTTATCTTAAAGATAACGCGCTATTTATGCGTTTTCCGCAACTTTAAACATGAAAGGGAATGCACTCTAATTTAATGAAATAAAATAAAATCGTTTGATTGGCGGTAGAAGTTGGATGGCTGTCATAAAATCGCTTATTTTCTTGTCATTCTTGGCGATTTTTTCTTTAAAATAAACGATTTGTGTCGCTTACTTTGCAGCACTCCAACTTTTGCTGCCAAACAAGCGATTTTTTTCTTCATCTTAATTTAGAGAGCTTTTTCCCAGCAAGATATGCATGAGCTATCCATCATCTTCTCTTTAAAAATATTTTTTTCAATTGTGGTTTCTTTTTGAAGTGACCTTTTTAAAGCGCATTTCTGATTTAGAAACAATGAAGGGACTTAACAGAATTCTTTGTCAAACTAGAAAAACAACTACATCTTCCACTAATCGTAATCTTAAAATATAAGGTCGCTTGAAATGTCCCTCATCCTTAATTAAGCTCTTGGTGTGTACTGCAGTAGATTGCAGTACACTGACCGAATAAATACTAATGTTCAGAAATATGTAGACCAGGAACCGCCATTTCTCATGCGTCAAATCTGTTTACTGTAGTGGGAGGAGATCAAAACAAAGAATTAAGGGGCAACGCTCATTTTTGAGGGAAAAAGGCCCAAGGGGTGGAATAAGAATGTATTGCTATTATATTTTCAGTATTAAGCAGAAAGCCAAAAATCATATGTATTCGCTCTAACTTGATATATTTACTTGTTTTTTGATGGACTGTAATATCACATCAGAGCTTTAGTCCTTTTCCTTTTAACTTCTGTGGGGGCACTGGGTTTGTTTACATTCCTCCCACAGTGTACAGTACATAATATGCGTATATCTGAGTTGGTCGTTCCTGTATATAGTTCCTTCGTATGTTTTGGGGAGAGTGCCGTTTTAGAAATGTGCATTTTTCCCGAATGTTTACTTTTTTGGTTTTCCTGTTCTAAAATGAGTTCTGAATGGTTTATTGTTTACATTTTTAAACTTTTACAACAAAACAATCATTCTTCATTTTCCTCTATTGTCCTTTGACAAAACTTGGTCCAGTAGAAAACTTAGGTGAATGGGGGTGGGACGGCGGGGGGAGGGGGATATCTTCAAAATTAAATCTCCCTTCCCATCCCTTCCACTTTTAACTTATCTTGCTCATCTGTGCTGAATAAAAGTAGAACCAATCGAATTTAACGTTTTTAAATGGTGTAATACACAATTTGGGCGCCTTTGAAGAATTGATTACTAGCATCAAACCCACATATCTTTGCAACTGGTTTAATTATAAACCGTTAATCTCAAACTTTGACAAATTGATTTAGCAAAATGGAAAGTTCGAAAAATCAAGGTTGCCAAACACAGACTAAAAATTTAGTGTTTGTAGGAGGTTTATTAGTCGGTCATACTTATATTTTAATTATTTACTCAAAAACTTTTTTTTAAAATAATTCATCCTTACATATGAATTCAATCTTAAAAAAATATAAGATGTTCCAGGAAAAAAGACCATTATTCACGAGACTTTGACGATATGCTAGTCCAAATAGATCCCTTTAAGCAAAACTAAAATAAATTAAACTGTGAGTGTATAAATTGAAAGATGTGGGGGGTTTGATTTTGCCTATATTGGCATGGGAAAACATATTCAAAAATAAAACAAAATATAATTTTTAATTTCCAAAGGAATTGCGATTCTTTGCCACAAAGTATCATTTTCTAACCCAATGGATTAGACCTTTGATATTCCAAAATAAGAATTCTGTTCGATCAAATAATCTTATTTTGATATATCAATGGTTTACACCATCGAGTTGTTTGGATTCAGGGATAAGAAAATCTGCAAGACTCTTGACTTCTTTGTTGTGAATTTGCTATTATTAATTAATTAATTAACCTCTGTTTGATTTATAGACCTCTCACAAGTAAATAATGAGTTATTTAAAAGTAAAAAAGAGGTTTTCTAAAATCTTCTGGTTAAATAAACATTTTTTTCTAGAATGGTGACATTTTCCTTATTTGCTGAAAATTTGTTGTAAATTTCAGATTTTTACAGAATATTGAATTGTACCTATTTAAATATTTAAGATATGAAAATTCTTTGAATTTAAAGCAATGAATATCCGATTTTTCGACTGAAAGAGAAGAACGTCATAAATATTAAAATATCTTGATTTAAGAATTTGAGTAATTTCAAGTAACCCTCCATGCAAAGATGTTGATGCCCGATTTACAACGATACCCTTGACACCTTAGTATAGATCAAATATGTGGAAAACTCGGTCGTGTTTCTAACTTGAAAAGTGTTTATTTCTGTGAGATTCTATTTTGCTTCTTATAAGCAAGGAATGCGCAAGTCACTTTAGCAGAGAAACGGCAAATAAAAAATAATCAGTTTAAAGAAACAAAAACATAGATATCTAATTGAAAGGTATTTCAGACAGAAATACCTTTCAAGGGTACCGTTGTAAATCGGGCATTGTTATCGTTGCATGAAGGGTCACTTACAGTCTCTTGAATTTCACTTTCCATGCTATTTTTGAACCAGAATTACTTATTTAACCCTATTCCTGCTGTATAAAACTGGATTTTGCGATAAAAAATTCAATTTTCGCAAATTTGCAAATTTTTTGCAGATTCTAAAAGTAGAGCACAAGAGCTTTCTAATGATGTATCATTTGTCATATTTGGACATAAAACATGGGATTTAGAGAGGGGGGGGGTCAAATTGACCCCCCCCAGCGTATCCTGGTTTTCAAGTACCCCAGCAGGGATAGGGTTAACTAGAATATCAGATTTACTTAGCTTAATTAGATTAAAATAGGAGAAAACATTAGCATTAGTCATTCAGCACTAAACTCAAAATAGATAAATATTGGAAGAAAAGAAATTTCGAAATATTTTATTTTCACCAGTACTTAAAAATGGTGGCAATAATAATAATAAACCTTAAATTCCTCTCGTAGAATTTATAAGTCTAATTTTACTGACCTTTATTCAGATATTAGGGGAAAAACTTTGGTATATATCTGCCATTTTCTAATAAACCTTTTACTATATATATAATAACTAAAAAAGGTTTATATAATAAATTTACTTATGAAAATAAAGGTTTCTTTGTAATTCTTAAAATTTCTGATATTGAAAATTATTATTTTTTTAAAAGTTTTTATTGATGAATTTATTAATTTGCTACTGGCTTCTCACTTTTTGGCAAGTAAGTCAATAAGGAAAAAGTTGGACGGGGAGGGGGGGCACTGGGACTCAGTAACCAAGTGGTTGGTAGGAAAAAGAATAATAATAAAACATTTTTTCTTACACTTTACATAAGAAATTGTAAGAATTCAGTAATTTTTTGTACACTATTTACCAAAATATCTACATGATAGTTGTCTACCATTTTAACAAGAAGTTTCTACGCTATTTACCAAAAAATCTATCCCTATAAGAATGAAAAGTCAACCAGAAATATCTACCCCTGTAAGAATGAAAAGTCAACTAGAAATATCTACCCCTGTAAGAATGAAAAGTCAACCAGAAATATCTACCCCTGTAAGAATGAAAAGTCAACCAGAAATATCTACCCCTGTAAGAATGAAAAGTCTACCAGAAATATCTACCCCTGGAATTATATAATAGTCCCCTTTATCTATGATTTATAACTGGAGTTAATTTTAACCCTGAATATATATTGAGAATAACATTTGTTACCAAAGCTAAACCATGGAACTAGGATACAGGGGACTGTATTCACATATTGGTTTTTGAAAAATAACAAAATTCATGTAGTAAAACTAAGAAACATTTTCATGTGATCATTTTCAACCCTAATTTTGACAATTTTCAAAGGGGTTATTAAGGAATTGAGTTTTTGTAACAAACTGAAATTTTCTTACCCCTATCTTTGCAACCTTTGATATTTCAAACTGAGACTATTTAATCTACCAGAATTAATATAGTTTGAAATATCAAAGGTCTAGGAAAACGGTTTGCAATAATTATAAGAATTAGAAAATCTAAGTTTGTGGCAAAAACTCAATTCCTTAAAAAAATATATATATATATATATATATAAAGAAATATAAAAATGTATTTTATGTTTCTTAAATTGTGAATGAATTTTCCCCTTGGTCCCTTTAAAAATAAGATAAAAGCTTTAACTGTAGAATTTTACTTTATGAAAAAATATTTCAAAAAGATATTTTCTTTGATTTTCTATATAATTAGGTTGTACTACGACAATTAAATCAGTGTTTAATGAATTTGAGCCGCGTCTCGATCAACTCCCCAAAAACCGGTTTCAATTGAGCGCCGGCTTAAATCTTGAAAAATTCAATACAATTTTAAGTGGAACCAACCATATTTGAGCCTCTGGATAACAAAGTCACCAAAGATAGTCCTAATAGTAGAAGATAATGCTTTAGGAATTTATCCGAATAGTGTGTACTGTAAAACACTTGTATATGACGTTATTAGCTGCAGTATTGGTTGGTTGGTTTTGAATTCAAACTATCAACATTAGAATTCTAGTTATCAAATAAATTAATCATTTGAAATTAACAACACGGTTATAAACTTCTATATTTGCTAAATCATTTATAGGATAGGATGTGATTTAGTGCCTTATAGGTTTGAAGGGGCCAAAAAATTGCAAACCAAACATTGCAATCTGTTTTAAGATGAGGTTCATCTACATAGATATTAAAATTATTCATTTCTAACGGCAAACTACGTTAAAAAAGTTTTTGGTGAGAGACATACTTGAAAAGTCTTAACAAGTTATGGAAAAGACGATATTCTGTGGCTTCTTAGTTAAATCAATTGTGGCGTCTGGTTTTGTCAATGGCTATTCTTTATATTTCACAACTCTTTAATTGGAAATCACCACTCACCAGTCACCATTTTAAGCGGAAAGAACATTCCCTAAATATTTTTTATAGTGGAAAGTTTAAATTCTCAAATCTTTTCAACTTGCATTTGGCAAAATGAAATACAAGTTTACAAATAAAAATATATGAATTTAATGTCGGAGACACGCCAAACTTTCTTAATTAAATCTGTTTTACAAAAAACTTCTTGAAATGTGGAAAACTTTGATGCGCCGACCAAGATTTCATCGAAACGATAACAGAGAGAGAAGGAAACACAAAATGATGTTTCTTTTAAAAATTAAACAAAACTCCAAATTCCTAAAGTTTTTGTGGACATTTAGAATTAGCTTTCACATTTAAGTTATTTTAATGTATTTCAGTTCTTGAGAAAAAAATTGCTTAGAAAAATTTGTCCCCTTGCATTGTGCAGCTGAAAGGTGAACTCTCACACTTCTGTAACTAGGAATTTTTAACTAATTTGTTCCGTATTTGAGGATCATATGTCATTTCTCCACCAGTCTACACGACATTCATTACAAAATATAAGAATCACTAAAACAAAACTAAATTGCTAACTTTTTTGTGTTTTGATTTAACAAATTTGGTTTCAAACCCATTGCATTTTTTTTGCAACCCTGGATATAATAATTTGAAAGCTTCTTAGCTCATGTAACTTTCACCAGTTTTAAGGAGGAATTTGCAAAATATTTAATGTTCACGCCGGAAAGTGAATATAATAGTATAATATGAAATTAAACACTAGTATTAACCTTATAAAAACTACAATATCTTTCACATTATTGATCAGATAACTAGGTTTCAAAGGTACCACCATTGTGAATCATGAATCTTTTCATGGAGGGTCGAATTTAAAATTACATTTCCATGTCACTTAAAAGGAATAAATAGCAAAAGATCCTGAGATATTTGCGTCAGTTATGTGTATCATAATAGTTTTATATCTGTTTAGGATAAAGTGATGAATAAATGGATAAATGGAATAGTTCTGGTTCAAGGCCTGCTGTATATTAGCATCCAGGGTCTAACTATCGGTAAGTTATTTTTGTGCAATTAGTACATCCAGACTGCTATGAAATGTTGCATCAGTTTTTAAGACCGGGTTGAGATTGAAGTTTAGCAACGCGCGCCTTATGCATTTGATTTTACCCCACTGATTCACTTATACTTTTATGTAACTTTACACATGAATATTTCAGAATTACAAAGCTAAAAAGTTATTTCCATTTTCAAGAAGTGATTGGTAAAACTCTCATAGATCTTTGCCTGAGACCTGGCAACCTTCAGATCGCTGTGAAAGGGGTTCTGCAAAACATGTCGGGATTCAATTAGGGTTACCATTTTTCCAGGATCAATTTGGTTCCGTGCGTAAAGACTGTTCAGAGTGTCAAACCAAAAAAACTTTTGGAAATTAAGATTGGAGCCAGATTGGAACCAAATTTGAACCAGATTTGAACCAGATTGGAATAAAGTTTACGGGACGATTATTCCATATGGAATTGATCTGGGTTAAAGGTTCCAGTTCTAGTTTCCTAAACTTTTTAACGAATCATGATGCTCAATATCTTCAGAAAAGGTTGCGTAATGCCGTTGCGTACGGGCCCAAATTGAACCGGAGAAGAATGTAAATTCTAGATTCAATGATATCAAACCCTCGGTTTTATCATGGAGTTGGATATTTTTTCAAACTCCATGATAATCCAGAATAAATAATATTGCTTTGCAAAGAGCGGGTTTAACCATGGACCTGCAACAATAAATTTTTAAATTTGCGGCCGGGATTTAATGAAAATTGTTGAATACCAAAAAAAAAAACATTTCAGAGGAATGACAATTTAAAATTTTGTATTTTCATTAAGCTAGGACTCATTAAGATTGGGTTGAAAATAAAATGCCAATATAAAAAATCTAACTTTTTAGCACGTTTCCAATAAGATTTGTTACTCATTGCTTTCTTATAACTTTACAAACACCTATATGCAAGTATTTTGTTTGTAAAATATAAAAGACGTATCTCTTTTTTTTATAAATATAGCAAGTTATATTTGATAAGCTGTGCATGGATAAAATTATTCAAATGTTAATTTATGCTTTTAGCACATTTTATAAAATGAAACGAATCATAATTGATTAAATTCATAATTAGAATTTATATTAATGAATTAGTGCATTTCAACTTTATATAAATAAAATTACAATCTTAGACTTTTCTTATGTTAAAGTGGGATAGAAATTAATTAGATTTTTGATATAAACATTTTGGCGGAAGGTTTGTGCCCTTACTACTGCCGAATACTAATAAGTTTGGTAGTAGACACAAATACTTCAAATATGCAATACTGTAATAAATACAGTAATTTCCTTATTTGTGAACCTGAAGATACCTAGATAAATTACATTGTACATTGTCTGTGAATCCAAATATGCTTATCTTAAACTACCAAAGAGAATAGAATATAAATATAGAGGGGAATTTACTAGAAAAAAGTGTAAAACGGCCATTTTGTTGTACTGTTTCCATACTGCAGGTTTACTTCACATATTTATGCTATATAACCTTTTGGGCCCTGGAATATAATTTTATAGAAAATCTAAAATTAATGTCAAAAGAAACCCAAATTATGAAATAGGCCAATGATCATTTCACATAGACTCTATGCCTTTCACTTTACAAACGATGATTTTCCGTTATAATTATAAATCAAATGATGTTTTTTATTCACCTAATTCATTATAAAGCTTATTTAACAGCTTTAGAAATTTCGAAATTGAAATTAATAGTCTAGGGAACATACTGTATTAATGCACTCTACTGCATATAATTTGTGAACATTTACATGATTTGTATACTTTGAACTCCCTTTCAGGCTGAAAGGGACTGAAAAAATTCATACCAAGAGATTCTCTAAATTCCCCTCTAATATATATTCTATTCTCTATGTTAACTACGCACAACTTGTAATGCAATTAACCTAGCCTACATTTACGCCTGTAAGTATACATCATAACCTGTATTGTGATTAACTTATTACTATGCCAGTAACTGGCTTAACTACGCTTATATATATCAGCGCTATTCTTGTATATACGTATATTAACATAATCTGTAACAAAGATATCCAATCCACTTAGATTACAGTGAGAGAAGTAATCGTTTCTCGTTTAGCGAACGAGTTGAGGAGATCGTTCCCATTGGTTTGGCATTGATAGTTTATAAGCTATGTGTCCGTGTTGATATCGATATGTATCTTCGCAATTAAATGTCGTAGACCTCGATATTTCTGATAGATTTGTTAATCTAAGTTTGAAATATCAAAGCTACTTACACAATAAGGCTGAAAAGATATAGAGTTTAGATAATTTATTGCAAATACACAGTTTATTTCTTATTTCAAATCCTGATACTATCCAAAAGAAAATAATTAGGAAAAACAAAAATGTCAGTTTGAGTCAAGAATTCATTAACATTGTATTTTGTAGAATAGCTAATAAGAAAACAAGGCGCAGTTAAAAACATGTTTAATGACTAAGTTCAGGATCCGGGAATACTTCTTCTACTTTGCTCCTTTCTACAGTCTTCTTTAATTGTCAATGCTTCAACTGTTTTCAAACTTTTTCCCATGCTTTCATCCTTCAGAGGTTCGGTGTTTTTTTGTAGAGGGGGGGGGGGGTCCCTGCCCTCATTTTTGGATTCACTCTGTGCCCATCCTCTTTCCCCTATGAATTTCCCCCCATTTTTGTCATATCTTATTGCTTAATTCAAATTTATTCTCTTTTAATCTTTTCTTTTCCTGTTCATTTTATAATATTTTTTAATCTCTGTTTAACTTTTCTATTCCATTTCATTTTATTAATTTTTGTTGTTGATGTTTTTAACCTTCCTTTTTCCTCCATTTCCAAATATTTTTTATCACTCTTCTTCCTTTTTTTCCCCTTCAGTTTCTCTTTATTTCTAGCCTTCAATTTTTCCTTCCTTCCCCCACTCCCCACTATCCTCATTTCTGTTCTTCTTTCCTTTTCTCGGATAGTTTCTCTTGTTGAGTTTCTTTATTGTTGGCGATGTCAATTAGTTGCTATTGTTTAGATAATCAGATTAATTTTATCAACTCAAGAGAAAATATCCTTTTTCCTTAAAATTATCATGAAAAAGTCTTAGACCACAGACAATGGCAGACTTATTCCAAATTAAATTTAGTACAATTTGCTGTTCTTTTCAAGCTAAACAAAATATTGAACAGGTAATGGTTTAGGAAGGCACACCGTTGTGAATAAGGCCCTTTTTAAATAGTTTAGGTTTATACTTGAAATTACATCGAAATGCCAAAGAATGTAACGATTTACGATTTTAAGCCATTAAATCTCTCCGGTTTAAATTTCCATTGATTCTAATTTTTCCGAAATTAAATGACATATTCCTTGTGTTAAGATTACTAATCAAAGAGTAGAAAGTTACAAATAAAATTTGAGATAGATGTAATAGGACATGGATAACGAGAATTCACTGATATCATGCAGATAACAGAATTATTATATTGAAATAAATTAACAAATTATGCATTTTTTTGCATGTTAAGAAAGAGTAAAAGAATATTAAATATCATTAACTGGATTTTCTAAATTTAATTTAATTCTGAAGAATATGCACTTTAAAGTCAAACTTTATTCATTTATCATGTTCCTTGTAGTTTAAAAACTTTAGAATTTGTAACTTTGATATTTATACGTGCCATACAGGGTGTTACAGTACAGTGTACAGTACAGTGTACAGTACAGTGTACATTACAGTGTACAGTACAGTGTACAGTACAGTGTACAGTACAGTGTAAAGTACAGTGTAAAGTCCAGTGTACAGTACAGTGTACAATACAGTGTACAGTACAGTGTACAGTACAGTGTACAGTTCAGTGTACAGTACACACCAGGAAATAAGAATACTAATTGATCATTGTTGTTTCTAATCTATAGAGTTTAAGATTCAGCGCAGAAATGCTTTCTTCTGCTAAGCCGCTGACCGGAAAGGGTTAGAGCAGGTTTTCCGTGTCGACAGTTTTAACGATAGTCTGCGAGAGAAAGGAATGTGCGGAGCGTCAAATCTGGAAATTGAGTGAATATAACTAAATATCGTCTTTTATCTACGCGGCATATTTTTTACCAGAAATAAGAAGCAAATTTTCGAACTGTTTTTTTATTAACATTTTAAATGTTGTTTTTTACACACAAATTATTAAACTTGATTTTATTGTTCAAGGCACAATTCCAATGGGTGTGATGTGATAAGATGAAAAAATACGTACACCGTTTTTTCCCTCCCTTACACGGTGATTCAGATCTCCTTGTCTAATGCTTAATTTCGAAACCATTTCCTATGTGTTACTTTTTAATTATGCGTACGAGTTACACATCTATAACACTTTCTTTGGTTGATATTCTTGCACATTTTATGTCTTGACTGAGGTAATCCCGATGCATCGGGGACATGCTTTGTTGTTTCTAGTTTTGCGTGACCAACTTGTTGCTTTTCGAAGTTACAATTAAACTTACTAAGATCCATCGACAATTGGTTAAATTCCGTTTAGTACAATTTCTGCTTTCACTGAAAGACCGTGCAGGTGTCACGCTAAATAACGCCCGAGATACCGTATTCCGGTTTCAAGCTAAAAAACGTCCAGATACTGTATTCCGGTGTCATGCTAAATAACGCCCGGAATACTGTATTTCGGTGGCACGCTAAATAACGCCCGGGATACTATATTTCGGTGCTAAACTTTAAAATCGCCCATTTAACTTACAATGCAACCGCCGTTTTGCGGCGGTTAGGACTTAGGAGTAAGGGGGAGGGGGTCTGCTCTCCCTCCTCTTCTGTATACGCATTTGTTACTAAGGAAATATTTTCTTTTACTAATTATCTCATTACTCTTTTTTGACTCAAGCTACAATTTTTAAATCTTAAATGAGATTTTTAAAAAATTTCTTATACAGTGTTTAAAAAGCTTAATGAAATATATTTGAAAAAGACTTGAGTTTTTCTTACTTT